GATTAACCTAAATAATCTGTACAGAAGCCCCTGGAACCCCATAAGATTGGGTCCCTAATCCATGAACTATTGGAACTCATTTACAAAACCTTTTCTTAAACATTACATGAATATATTGTCTCATACTATAGAATTAGAATTTGTAATCCCTATTCCATAATGAGGTATCTTTGAGCTATAATGTATCTTAATTAAAACTATCTTTTCCTCAAAAAGCATTTTATCAAAAAAATCCAATTTAAATTTAAAAAATCTGATTTTTGTTTTTAAATCATTTATTTTTATCCACCCTGGTTTCCCTGTATGTAAAATGAAGGTACTTGCCCACCTCACAGGGATGTTGTGAGGACTAATTAGGTAATGTTTGTAAAGTGCTAAGTATTATTTCATGCACACAACTTTTATCCAGATGCCTAAGCTGTTTAGAGCTAAATTGCAAAGCTTGAGGGGTCATCGAGAAAATGATTCATTCTTTTATCACTGTGTATGACAGTAACAGCTGCTTTTCTCTTTAAAGGGAAAGATTCATAGTTACTGATTTATCTGCTCACAGAAAGCATTCTAGTACTGGAGATCTACTGAGCATTGAACTACAACAAGTAAGATGATGTACCGTGATTACAACTTTATATAATATAGTGTTTTTCATATAAACTATCTCAAAATGCTTTGCAGAATTTAATTGTACAATTACCAAAGTTTCTGATAGGAATGAGAAAGCTAGAGCCTAGTCCTATTAACACTTAACCCCAGGTATGGTGCTTATTAACCTGAGCAGTCCCATTTATTTTACAGAAGCTCCCCCGTCTTACGCAAGCGTTCCGTTCCAGAACGCCTTGCATAAGTCAAGTTTTACGTAAGTCAAGAATGTATCTCCTCCAATTACGCGCCAAGAAAAAAAGTGCTTACGGAACTTTTTCCGTAAGCCCAGATTTCCTTAAGTCGGGTTTGCGCAACCAGGGGAGCGTCTGTAATAGGGTTGCTCATGGTAGAAAGTGCTATGTCTGTTAAGTATTGGTATTTGCAGGATCCAGCCCTGGGATCGGGGAAGAAGTTTTTCCCCGATGTATATTTGTATGCAGTGTATTCTGAGAATACATAATTGCCTGTTTAGAGAGAGCTGTTCTTTGTGTGGGGAGGTTTGTTTTGCAGTCTAACAATACAAAGTTTAAATGTAGTTGAGTAACTTTTATGTTTTTTCCCCCCTCCCCACAGGCCAAAAGTAATTCATTGTTACTTCAGAGAGAGGCTAATGCACTAGCCATGCAACAGAAGTGGAATTCCCTAGATGAAGGCAGTCGCCTTACCTTAAATCTTTTAAGCAAGGAAATTGATTTGAGGAATGGTGAGGTAAAGAAAAAGATGATTGGGATGTATCAGATCACTGAGGTTTTGGGGTATATATTTGGAAGTGTGACATTTTAAAATACTTATAACCTGCTCTTTTGGGTTAGTTACTGCTGCTACACGTGGTTCAGTGTCTGAGAGTGAGCAGATGCATTTGCTGTATTGCTTCTCAGTCAGGAGATGGCTTGATCATGGAGGGACTCCACAGAAATAAGTTCTGTTTTATTACACCCTTGTGGATTGCTGGGCAGGGGTAGATACACATTATACAGTTAATTGGAAGTATACTTAAACATGGAAGCTGGAAAGAGTCCACATCCATCAGTTCTCCCACCAGCTATTTACATTATGTCAAGAAAGCGATCCCTGTACTCTGCTCCAGTTGTAGATGATATAAAGCTAAAACCTCTGTTAGTGTGCTCTGAAAAAACATTCCCTTCCAACACCCACATACTTTACACTACTCTGCAAGTAAGCAGGAAGTGTCTAATCTTTTCTGTACCCAAAGACACCATTGGTATCCAAGTAGCTGTCCATTTCTTACTTCCCCCTCTAGCCCCTCTTATCTCAGGAATGTGGATTATATTATTTTCCATTTTCACTTGAATCCTTGAAGATTATATACAGAAAGTGAAAAGTCTCTTGTATTTCCAGGCTGACTATATTGAAGACTGTGCAGACACAAAGCCAGATCGGGACATTGAATTAGAGCTTTCCGCCCTTGATACTGATGAACCTGATGGGCAGGGTGAACAAATAGAGGTATGTACAAGAACTGCATGTTTGAAGAGGTTAAGAAATTCTTTGATTAGTTGTTGAGCTGTTTCTAGAAACTTTTTTGTACAATCAATAATTATTCATGTTTATAGTGGAAAACCTTTTAAAATAAAAAGGTAGGTTTTATATTGAGCTCTGAATCTTCTTTGGCACCATTTTAGTATAGAATTTGGGCTGCTTTTGTGCTAGTCCCAGTCATCTGAGGTTGTCAATGTTGCTCTAATTGCAAAACGTTTTTTAAACTTTTTTTCTTTTTGTTAAATACAAGATAGCATTAGTAATTTTTCCCAATATACAAAATGGAAACCAAAAGTATTTTAATACATGCAAAGTCTATTACAATATAGTAACTTAAACAAAACTTTTAAATCACCTCATTTCTAATACTAAATTCATTAAAAAATTGTCCTTGCTCTTTATATTCCTATTGTTGCCAGTGCCTCTGTCTTTTATATTTTATTTCTATTAATAGGCTGCATTCAGTTCCTTAAACATTATTTCTTTCACCTTCATTGTGCAGTCATAAAACGTTCTGATCTTGTTTCATACCACACAAAAGGAATCATCACAGCCCTTCTCTAAAGCAGTCATGCATTCAAAAAGAATAGATATCTGTCATTAAGGCTTTGCATAATATATACTGGTTCTTCTGGTTTCCATACCTCTCTTGTTGCTCCACTTGTTAAATATAAAGTGGGTTAAAAACTGGTTGAAAGACTGTATTCAAAGAGTAGTTATCAATGGTTTGTTGTCAAACTGGAGGTGGATATATCTAATATAGTCCTGCAGAGTCCATCCTGTGTCTGGTACTATTCAGTATTTTAATTAATGACTTGGATAAGGGAGTGGAGAACTTTCCAAAAGGAGAAGAGATTCTAGGAGTAGCCTTTGACCTCCAGAATCATTACATAAAATAAATAGAAATTGGAAGGCTTACCAAAACAAGTAGCCACAATATTGATGGACAATTCTATCTTCTTCCTGTAGGAGATTCTGGACATACAGCTAGGTATCAGTTCTCGGGATGATCAGCTGCTCAATGGAACAACTATAGAGAATGGACATTCACTCAAGAAACACCAAAAGGAACCTTTGGAGCAGAAGAGACAAAGTTTAGGTGAAGACCTTGTGATTCTGTGAGTGTTAGACAAAACAGCAGCATCAGAGTGGTTAAAACATGACTATTTAAAGAGGAACTGCTTAGCTTCTCACACTTGGATGAGACACCTGCACTGTGTATGCATGGTGAAGTGGGAAGAGACTGTTGAGAACTAGGAAGGATTGGCTTGTGATTATAAAACTCACTGAATGTACCATTGGTGCACCAGTTTTTATGCATTTGAGTTACCTATTTTTCAGTACATATTAGGTAACAATTGATATAAACCTATGTTTTATATATTCCCACACTGCACAGCAAATACAAAAGTATTTTTATAATTACCAGAATTCAGGGAAACTAGTCTCAGCAAGGTTGGCATTAAACTTAATTTCCACTAACCTCTTCTGTGCCAAAAACGTGCAGAATACTCTATGCTGGAATCACCCATGCTACTGTATTTTAACCATGTAATGATCCCTTTGAAAACGAGGCAATCTGCATTTACTCTGTGAGCATACTCTTCTATAGTAAAATATTCTGTCTTTCCACTGACTACCATTTCATTTCAATATTTGCATCGTTTAATGCACAGTTTATTTCTTGATATTTTGCATTAAGCTGAAGTTTAATATTTGTATGATTTATTTTTCCCCTCAGGGAGGAGCAGAAAGCAGTCCTGCCCGTAACTTCTTGCTTCAGCCAGCCTATCACAGGATCCTTTAGCAATGCAAGCTGCCTGCCCATCAGCACATCAGTCAATGTTGGCAGCCTCATTTTGAAAAGTGCTCACATTATGTCTGAGGATAAAAACGACTTTTTAAAGCCCATTGCGAATGGCAAAATGGTTAACAGCTGAAAGGCATTCATCTTTCCAGCTTGTGACCACGCCGTGAAAGCATTTACACTAGCTTTTTATATATATAATATATATTATATAATGTATATTTTTTTTAAAAAAAATAATATTGGGGTCATCCATTTCCTGTGGACTCTTTGATACTTCAAGCCCCTCTTGCATTAGCATTCTGAAAAGATACATTTACTAGGGTAAGGCGTTCACTTTCCACAAATTAATGGAATTTGGACATTCTTTTACTTAAGCTTAAAGCAGCTTTTTATGAGTTTGTAGCAATCCGGTGCAGTAACTGAGCCATTCTTATTTAAAATGGCTTCTGTAGAAGATTAACAACTCAGTTATTTAAACTAGCAGGATCCTACAACGATACATCTAGTGAAAGTAAAACTAATTTATTTGTCTCGATTTTGTTTCATGAGAAAGGAACTTGCATCTTGTTGCAGCTGCTTTTTCTTTAGTTGTGGAACTTTGCATGGAATATTGTTTCCTGTTTGAAGAGTGAGAGGTAGGGATTTGTATTTTAGACTTTATTACAGGGTTAACACACTTCAGCTTTGTACTACTGCATTATATGCAGGACTGTGGTGCAGTGCTTTGCTGTAGCTTTTTATTTCTTCTTGTTTGTTTTTTTCTCATTTCTGCTTTAGTACTGTTGATAGTTATATACAGGCTACTTGTCCAAGTAAAGTTACAAAAAGTAACCCAAGTGCCTAAATCCTCCAGCTAATGTTCTTGGTATTGATTTCCCCAAGTTATATGCACATCCATTTTTAACCATTTTGATAAATTATGCACTAATGTAACAGTGGGGTTTTGGGTTTTTTTGGTTTTGGTTTTTAATGCAGTCCTCCACCTGCATTTATAGAATCCAGATGACTTGGCAAAAGAATCAGGTGCTCTTGTCTTTCCCGTGAAAACCCTGTATGTAGTGTTTGCACTGACTAACAATATGGTATTGCTGATTATTGTTGTTGTTTTTTAATTTAAACTAATTAGTGGGTTTTTTGGACACTCGTTACATTGTCTTGGTTAAATATTGTTAATCATAACTTTTTATTCAGGTTTAATTTTGCTTGTTCACTAGCTATTGACTGAACCTACAGTAATATAGCATTATCAGACCTATAGAGTTGTGCTGAAAATTGTATGAATATGTGCCCTGCTAAGATGTGACTGAAAAGTCGTATTAGACATGTCAACTGAAGATAAGTACACACACACAAGCACTCTGGGCATAGTTTTCTTTAAAGTTTAAAAATTCAGTCACCATTTTGGAAAAGAAAGCAAGACCTTCCCTCCTGGTGATTACTATCTTATTGTTTGTCCTCTTCAGTTTCTTTGGTACATGTTTTACTTTTTTTAATGTTTTTATTAACTTCTGTGAAGTTGTTTACTCTGAAAATTGTACTGGAATATTTTAAGCCAAGCTAATCTTTCACCAGGTGTACTGTATGTAAGGGCTTTTCCTGCTAGCAAATACTTTAAAAGGATCATGTTACTGGTTGTCAGTTATTTTACAAAATCACAGCTATGTGTCAGATAAGATTTTGATAACTGTTTTGTGCACGTTTCTGAGGGGTGGGGGTTGGCATTTCCCTGAGGGTTACTGATTAGACTGAGAAAACATCGGTGTTTGATATCTCTTAATGAACATGTCCATGAAATAATTATGTTGTAAATATATCTGAAAATCCAAGGGTTAGTTTTGATATTCTGGTGTCAGTATGGAAGATCTTACACACTTATTTAATACTAAACTGTAAAGAAATATTTGTAGAGTAACAGTAAAGTAGCCTTTTCTTGGATTCTTTGGCTATTTACTGTACCTTCCCTGATAGGCAGTGCCACCTCATCTCTGGAATAAGACTGGTATTTTGTTTCACTTTGCAGCCTGAAATGATTAGGAACAAGAATTAGACCACCTTGTCACCTTAACTCATTTCCTGTTGATGTTACAAATTAACATAGAACGCTAGACATGAATATGATTGTTGTATATTTTATATCAAGACCATTCTGTAAATATGAATTTATATTACTTTTGAAATGCTTCCGAAGTACTTTTATTTGCTGTATGTAATTCCAAAAGGATATGCAAACCAGTATGTCTATTTCATGGATATTTAAACAGTGAGATCTTCCACGTTGAAGGTAATGTAATTTTTTTAAAAAGATTTTTAAATTTTAAATTGCTATTTTGTTACAAAAATAGAGAAAATATAAAGGTTTGAGAAGTCCTTATTCGCCCTCAGGGAAAGAGCCCTCTGTGCTCCAGAACTCCACAGAACATCTTCAGCATGATCTGAGGGTGAATATATACTACATAAATTGATCTTGTGTATTTACCTTAACTTTTTAATTTTAAAATTGCAATTTTAAAACTTGGTTGTGCTCTGCTGGAGGGGGATTGGGATAAGCTGCTTACACAAGTTCGTCTGTTTTGTCCAGTGAAAATACATCAGCCTAACATATTCCTGCCAACTTTACTGGCATGTCTAAGAACAAATGTATTTATATATGCTTGTCTGCAGCAGAAGATCCCATGATACAGTAGCTTTCTAGAAAGACCACATGCTTCCTCTGAAAAGGAGTCAGTTCTGGGTTGAGGCTAATTTGTGTTGAACCTTTAATATCTAGAATGACAGACACAAGAATTGAGGGATTTTTAATAGTGTGCCAACATTGTCTTACAGTTTTTAACACTGATTATTATCTTGCCATGAAACTATGCCCTCTGGTGCCCTAATAAGAGGAAGTTACAGATGGGAATATAGTTCTGGTTCATTTTTGGCAAAGTTTAATTACTTGACCTGATACAAACCAATACGTGTTTGTGTATCTAGTTGCAAATCAGGTGCCTTTTTGGGCAATGGAAGGGCTAACTTTCTGACATTTAAAAGTAGTGTGACTAATATCTTCATGTGTAGTAGTAGTAGTATAGAATCCCATTTAGGTTTTTGGCCAAATATATTACGCTGTCAGAAAAAGGCCCATAGCAGATTAGGGAGAAGTGTGTGGTTCCTTTGCTTTGTGCAGACGAGCATATTTTTTTCAGGAGAGGTACAGCAGGGATTTCACATGTCAGGTATACAGAAGTTGTATCAATATCTGAGTTAAAATGTGTTGCCTCACAACCTGGATTAATTCCTTGTTCTGTCTCATTTCCTACATGGGTTTTAGGACTAGCATTAATCTCTAATTTGATATGTCATGCTGTCTACTTCTTTGTGCGAAAGTAGTAACATGACATTCTTAAGATCTAAATTATAGTAGAGTGACTGCCCTTCTACTGATATTTTATTCCTGTAACTAGAAATGAATGAGTTCGTGTTCATACAGATTGCGCATTGTAGAATGTATAGTAGACCTTTCAAAGAATAGGTTAGACTCATTTTGCAAAGCAAATTGGCATTGGTTCTTGATAGACTAGTACAGAGTGATACTAAAGTGTGATACATAAGGACACCAGTTGTAGACATATAATTTGAAAAGTTTACTGCTTTGATAACACGCTTGAAATTTTAGTTTAAATTCATGCTGATGAGCTGAACGCTGTTCTTGTGTGTTAGTTCCCCGGGCTGAGTGAGGTACAAAATCATACACAAAGAAAGGCCTGGGGAAAGAATGTTTTAAAAAAATCTTTTGTCAAAACCCAAAACAATTTGATAGTGTGTGGTTTTATTTATTTATTCTTTTTGTTAAAGCACAATTTGTCAAGTATCTGCTGTTGTACATAAACTCTATTTGAGAGATATCTGCTAGCAGCTCCTTTATCATATTTGTCAAGATTTTTTTTTCACCATTATTAACCTGTGTCTGAAGGAAAATGTGAAATTTTAGACCTTAATCAAATGAGAAGTTAATGAATCATCCACAGTACATGGAGCGCATTACTTGTTATAGTTTAATCCTTTTCTGTTAGGAAATCCCTTTAATGCAAGGGCCTCTCCTGCAAGCAGAAAACAATAAATGTGCTCTTTAAATGACCAGTTCTTTCCAGTACAAATGCACAGCTAACTCCTTGGTACTAGTGGTCACAATGCACCTCTTTGCTGGCAAGGGAGTGCTCTGACAACTTAACCCTAAGTGTCAAGGGTAAAATAAAGACAGCAAAATTATCAAAATTCCCCACACTTAAGCAAAAACCTTTTATTTAAGGAAGACTGTCGCCGAAGCTCGCTCTTGGCATTTCATGTTTAACAAAGTTTGAAATAAAAGAGAGCCTGGCTGCATTTATAACTGTCAAAATCCAACATCATTTGCACATATCCCATCAATTTTATCCAGTGTAGGCCTCAGTTAATCCAAGGCATGAAAATGCATGCATTTTCTTCGCTGGGCAAACAAGTACATTATACTGTAGTTGTGATACAACACATGTGGCTTTTATTTGTACTGCACATACCCACTGTACAGCCACTCAAAGTATTGTGGTTAGCTTGCAGCATCTGCTGTCTGCATTTATACAGTTTACTGCATATTCTTTTCCCTGGAAGTTAAAGAATTTTTTTTTCTTGTTGCATTGATTACGTTTTATAAAATTGCTTAGCTGGAAAGTTGGGAAAAGAGGCCTGTTTGTCAATTGTACAACCGATTGTGAAGCTCTAGTGTGAATATTTTTACGTCTGTATTAGACATTTTCTTTGCAAATCTATTGTTCGATTGAAATGTAAATGAAATAAAAGATGGTGTACACCCATCATGTATAAAGCAGGCACCATCGCTACGATGGATTTAATGCTCATTTTTATGGTGCATTCTCAGCTTCTATTTAAAACTATAATTTAAAATCTGTAAAATGAAATGGGGATATATAGGGGAATAAATTCTATTCCATTTATTTCAATTTTGAATTTCCAAATTGTAATGTTTCCCTTTGTGTTATAGGAATAGGATTAAAGGGGAAAGCTGGACCATATGGTCTGTATTGGGGGTGGGTTGGGGGAAAGATGGGGTGGGCTGGGCTTTGTGATAATACTGAATAGCGGAGTGAATTCTGTGTGTTTTTTGCTGTAGCACTGAAGTAAAGAGATATTAGCTTTGGCTGGTCACAGAATAGAGCATCATGGTTTTCAGTGTTTTGAGAGAAAATTGATGGAAAAAGTTTGCAGTACTTGACATGTATTTGCATGCACAAAATAAAATGATTGTCCACCTTACGTGTGTGTTTGTAACGTGTGAGACCAAGCCTGCCTGGTGTCCCCTCTTCCCTGCCCCTGCCTCGGTCCATGCCTCTAGCAGCAGGGGAAATAGCGGCGTGAGGAGTTTGAAACCAGCCCCCCGGCGGATCCGAACTCACGGTAGTTCCGGCGGGGCGGGCCGGGCCGGGG